AACATCACCATCTACAAAGCCTCCGACAATAGCATTAGACAAAGAATTCCAGCAACAATGAATAATTTCTGCAAAATCGGCTTAGACGGATTATCTATTAATATAACAGTAATTAAAAGTACATTCAATGAATATGGCGAACAATATTTTGTGACTATGGATAATAATTTCGTTCAAGATCTCTCTTATGAACCTTTAAAAGGAATTCATGATGGTATCTGGACTCTTAAAACAGGTAATATTTTTTTAACTTATCTTTTAAATTTGTATTGTAAATTATTAAACACTTATTCTTTAACTTTTGGACATTTAGATAGCTTTGACAATCAGAAGATAGATTCAGGTAGTACGCATTATATTTATGCTCATTAAAATGCTTCATACGATTCTTATTGTGGTTCCTTACAGATAAAGCTATTATGGGCTCAGTATGTCTTACTACAGGAGCTTCCAAAAAATTCTTAAACCTCTTTAAACATAATCAATCATATAAATCAACGTACATTGATAATTTATTGAATGAACTCTCTGGCAAAGTGCCAATAAACCGTTCTTGTTTAAGATCAGATTATAGAACCTATAATGCATTTTATGATCAAATCGTTATTTTAATTCGTATAAATATAAATAATATTAATATTAAAAGGACAGCTTCGGAGGTATTTTCAGATATAAATACAATGATAATTTACAAAAATATCACTACCTTCTCTTTCAATGGTACAAATGATCTAGACCAAGATTATGGCTTTCAGCCAAGACGTGAGTTAATTGTCTTGTAAAAAATGCTACAGAATTAAAAATTTCATATATAATTTTCATGTTGTAGGGAATGTATGGAATGATTTCAAGACGAAAATAGCCATACTTATCGGAATTTTGATTTTTTTAATACTATTCTTATTATTTCATATACTAAGCTATAAGGTAAATTTACTTTATCAATATTCTTTTAAAAATTTTTTCACGAAATATTTACAAATATTTTTATTATATTTAAAAAGTTTAAATCAAAAAAATTCGAGGCACTAAGTTTTGCAATATTAAGAATTGCATTAATCATCACTAATTTTATTCTTTCAGTTCTATTTGTTGTTTATAAATCTATAAATGTGACTGAACTTTACTGGGCAAGGTATTTTTGCTAAATAAATTTATTTCTATTATCATAAAATTAATATTAAATTATTGTTATCTTTATTTTTGACTTTTTAAAAAACTATTTGAAGTATAATTGTCCTGAGTGTTCCATTATACATAAACTTTTACATAGCAATTTATACTATTTATAAAGGAATTGAAAATCCATTTATTAGTAAGGATTTTAAAGAATGGGTTATGAAACATCGAGGATTAGTAATTATGCTAATTATTTTGGTAGCAACAGATTATGAATATTTGATGATTTTGAGAGACTTGCTTATGTGCACTAAAAAATTACACCATTACGAGCAAATCAATATATTTAATATTCTTGAAAATATTTTGGGTGCTGTAATTATATGGGGTGCATTTTTTGATATTTTTTTTAGGAATATTCCACAAATAATTATTCAAGTGAGAAAAATTTTCATTATATTTATTGTTTTTGAAATTACTCAACGTGCGAGTAATTTTCGATTAACGAAATCTGTCTTAATTAAGGCTATTAATTCATTTTTTTAAATTAGGTCTATTATTACAATTATGAATTCCTTTATGAGTACGATATAGTTCCACTCCTTTTACTTGTCACGTCTATCCTTAAGATTTTCATGACCATCTGTAACTATGTTTGCAAAAAAGTAACTTTTATTATTGACCGGTATGTATAACATTTATTTAACTTTATTTTAAACAATAAACGTTATTCTGATCAAATGCATTCATTATCCGGTTAGTGTGAAATACTATTATATTTTATCATTATAAATTATCTCACTTCCTAATCATATTTTATCGTCATTCATATTATAGAGAGTGAGTATTAAATTTTATATGAAAATTGCTACTTAAAAGAAATTAAACATTGACATACTTTTCAATCAATTTCATAACATTATTAGTTTGTAAGTAAAACTTCTCATTTATTAAAAATGTCTTAATAAACATTCATTATTTAATATTCTTTTTGATTACACTAAATAGTAAGTAAGCAGAGAAGCTCATCAATTTTGTTTATTAATTTTCTTATATTAATCTATGATATCACCGATCGATTAAACAAAAAGGTCAATATTCCATTAATATATTTTTACCATTTTGTTAAAACTAAATATAATCAATGGAATTAATATAATATTAATGGTTTATATTTTCATATTAAAGATATAATTTTTATGGAAAATGCACAAAATGCAATCGACCTTTTATTTCTCCAACGTGGTGTCAATTATGTGACACTTTAGAAGAAACTAAAAAATGGACAAGTGGAAATGAAAATATTGATAAATATATTAAAGAATTTCAAATCAAAGTTACGGAATATAAAAAGATGATTGAATGGATTCCATTTAATAAACTGGATAAATTGCAGAAGATTAGAGAAGTAGAATCAGAAACGCTATTTATGGCGACATGGCTAGATGGTATAAGAATAATTAAAGGTGACTTTGCAGAATATACACGATCACGTATTAGATCATGTGGTATTAACCTTAAATTATTACATGACTTTCAAACATGCAATATGTTTATTGAAGAGGTAAGTTAAATGTTATTTCATTATTCACAACTTATAGCAATGCAATTAATATGTTTGAAACTTTTATAAGCTTAAAAATTATATGCAATCAGAAGAAAATGTTGTGTATGGAATTACTCAAGATACAGACACAAATCAATATATAATTGTAATACCAGATGAATTTAGCTCTAGAAGAAACGATTCAAATGGAATATGCCAGTGCTGTGGACATTACAACACTTCTCCTGCTTGGTGTCAATCCTGTGATCCCTGGAGAGCAACTCAAGATTGGACAAGTGGAAATTAAGAGATTAACAATTTCATTAAAGAAATTCAATTCAAAGCTACGGAATATGAAAAGGTGATTGAATGGATTCCACTTGATAATCTAATTAAGTTACGAGAAATTAAAGAAAAATCAAATGTTGCATTCATGGCAACCTGGATCAAAGGTGTACGAATAATTAAAGGTGAATCTGGAAAATATGTACAGTCACGCACTATATCATCTGTTGATCTTATGAAAATGGATTATTCTCTATCAGAACTTTTAGAAAATGTAAGTTAAATTTACTTATATATTTCTGCTTGAATTTAGAGTTTGGATCAATTTTATTTCTTATGCTAAAATCGATTAAAATCGATTTACTGTAAGTAAAACCGGTTCCAAACCTCACTTGAAATATTAAAATAATGCTTAATTAATTAATATATGCATATTATCTAAGTTTAAAGTTCGTATACAAGAGAAATATAAAATACATGGAATAACTCAAAATACAGAAACTGGCCAATACATGCTTGTAATTGATTTTTATAATAATAAAAGAAAATCTATTAAAGGAATATGTGAGCATTGTAAACGATACAACACCAGTCCAGCTTGGTGTCAATTGTGTGATCCTCCAAGAGTAGAAGAGAAAACAAGTAGCGATAAGAACATAGATGATTGCATTAAGGAATTTCAACTTGAAGCTACGACATTTGAAAATGTTATTGAATGGATTCCATATGACAGACTAGATAATATAAAAGAGATTGGTAGAGGAGGGTTTGGTACAGTATATTCAGCAATTTGGTTAGATGGTAACCGAATGGTAGAAGGTGACAATAATTTAGGTTATATACGATATCGTAAAGAATCCTGTGATGTTGCTCTTAAGACATTACCTGGTTCTCAAACAAGCTCTACTGAGTTTTTAAATGAGGTAAGCCAAAATTATTTGTTTATGTATTTTAGTGTAATTATGTACAGGGTGTACGTTTTTTAAGAACGCGCATGCCCAATATTTTGAAACAGTTGATAGTCTTTGTTTAAAAAGTTATTTAATAATAACTATCTCACATATGTATTATTTTGAGTCACTTTCAATATAATGGAAAATTCGAAACAACACCCTTGTGCGTAATTACGCACTAATATGGTAATTCAAATCTAAATAATCTTAAAAATTTTATTCATACTTTTTTTTCAAGTTTAAAAATCATATGGAATGTAGATTAGTGGGTAGTGCACTTGAAGTATACGGATTGACTCAGGATACAAAGAATGGTCAATATATGATGGTATATCAATATGCCAATAAAGGAAATCTTCATGAATTTTTAACTAAATACTTTAGAGACCTTGTATGGCATAAAAAATTAGAGCAGCTTGCGTATATATCTTGTGATTTATCTCGAATTCATGAAGCAAACTTTATTCATAATGATTTTCACAGCGGTAATATTTTACTAAACCAAAATATTGATGGAAATATAATATCATACATTACGGACCTTGGATTATCTAGAAAAAAAGACGAGCATGCTTCAGAAAAAGACGTTTATGGAGTCATGCCATATATTGCACCTGAAATTTTTATGGGTAAACAACATACACAAGAGGCAGATATTTTTAGCTTGGGTGTTATTATGGCAGAAGTATCAACTGGAAAAAGACCTTATAGTGGGCAAAAGCTTGATACTAAATTTGCAGTAGAAATTTGCAAAGGATCACTACACCCAGGATTTGCTGAAGGAACACCTGATTGCTACATTGAATTAGCTAAACAATGCATGGATTCAAATCCACAAAATCGGCCTACTGCTGAGCAAGTTTATTCAAAAATTAATCAATGGAAAATAATTTTAGAATCAGAAAATCTAACAGATGAAGTCAATATAAAAAAGAAATTCAATGATGCTGATAGTATAATCAAAGAAATATCAATGAAATCACTAAAATCTTTATCAGCGAATCAAAATAAATATTATAGTACACGAATCGATGTACAAAATATAACCAATAGGCTTAAAGGTACTAACAGGACTGAAATTACTTTACATTGCTTATATGCATGATGTTTTACAATTAAGTATGATATTAATTTATTGTTTCATTAGGATCTAGTCAATCTAGTCAGTTTAATTCTGGTTCAACGGTTGTTTCCTTAACTAGCGATTTATCACGTTAGTATAATTTGCAATATTTTGATCGGTTTAAAAAATTTTTTTTACTAATTATATTTTTTTAAATTTAGAACCAACTCCAATGCAAACGCCAAAGTCTGAATATTCTAACTTTGAAGGTATCAGTAGGACTGAATTTACTTTACATTGCTTAGGCGTTTGATGATTTGTAATTAAGTATAATATTAATTTATTGTTTATTAGGATCTAGTCAACGTAGTCAGTCTTATTCGGGTTCAACGCTTGTACTCTCAACTAGCGACTTATCACGTTAGTATATTTGTATAATCTGAATATTTGATTGTTTTTTTTTTTAAAAAAAATTTTTTTTACTAATGTTATTTTTTTAATTTAGAATTGATCCCAACGCCAAAATCGGAAAATTTTAAAATTTCACTGGATGAAGAAAAATCAACAAAAAATCTTAAAGGTATAAACAGGACAGAAATTACTTTACATTCGTATAATTTGAAATATTTGATTGGTTTAAAAATTTTTTTTAACCAATGTTTTTTATAAATTTAGAATCAACCCCAATGTCGGAATATTTTAAATTTTCTTCAGATGAAAAAAATCACCTATCTAATGATCAAAAAGACTAACACTCTAAGTATTTTGTATTATTTTTCAATTTATGTCACTTTAAATTGTTAAATTTGTAAACTTAAAAATTACATATGACCATTTCACAATTGGGTAAAGACTTATAGGTTAATGATTTATTACTAAAATTCAAATATCCTTTAAAACCAAATATCCTTTTTTTTTTTTTTTGATAATTAAAATTACTTTTCTGGAAATTTTTTATTTTAACATTGTTTATTTAAATCACAAAGTATATTTATGAAGCTACTAAATAAAATTTTTGTAAATATATTGCTATGTAAAAACAACATAATAAACATGTTATATGTAAATGTGAATAAAATTTAAATGGGTGTGCAATTCATATAATTTTAAGATAATATAAGTAGCAGTGTGCAAAATTCAAAACAAAATTTATTAAAATATGTTCTCTATCTGAATTAAATAGATTCTTTTAATAGTATACAAGTTTAATTTTCTATATTAAGAACATTAAAAAATATTTTGGGCATGCTCCTCTTATTGTGCCATATATATATATATGTTGTGCCTCAGACTAACGCTTGCCTCAGATCACAGCTGACGCATCTCCGATTCAGATCGTCAAGGTGAGGTGCGTAAACTACGTATTGATCTATCATCAAACCGAAAGTAAGAGAGTAAAATAAATTGAATAAAAGACTTTTGACTTGGACGCTTTTAGCTATTCTTTTCTTTAAATTTCTTTTCCCGAATTTTGTGGCATATTCTATTTCCAATTAATATGCACTTTTTTTTCTATACGTATGGTTTTGTTTTTTTTCCTAAATTTTCTCTGCGTACTCTTCCTGTTTAAGTCTTCTCGGCACGTTCAACTTGAATAATACATTTTATTCTATACATATTTTTTTTTTCTGAGTAATGACTGATCGATAGGTTACGCACCTCATCTAACAATCTACACCTGAGGTGCGTCAGCTGTGATCCGAGGCAAGCGTTAGTCTGAGGCACAACACACACACATATATATATATTGAAATACTCACTCTACAATTGAACGCATCTGTAGCTTTGCTAGAAGCAAATTGATAAATGAATTAAGAATATTAAATAATTCAAGCAAACTCAGTTCATACCAAGTTTAGACGTAAGCTTCAACTAGCTCAGTTCATCTTAAATTGAACTAAATTAAAGATTAAACTTTGAAATCTTGGCTAAACTGAGTTCAACCTAAGTTTTTCAACTAGTTTAGCAGACCATTAATATCTCTAAAATGCATTAATAAAAAATTTGAGCTTATTTATACGAAAATTTCAAAATATAGGTTTGTATGGTAATTAATAATTTAACCAATTTTATTTAGACCTTTACTATGTAAAATACAAAATTTTCTAAAATATGTCGTAGCAATCAGTTTACGCGATTTGCCATAAATATGGGTATGTTTAAGGATGGACAAAATGCGCATTTTTTGGAACCATGCGCATAGATGCAAAAGGAAAAAAAAGCGAGTCATATAAATCTTGGTAGGAAAATCGTGCATTTTTCAGGAATTATGTGCATTAGCCTATCTCTAAAAATAACTCTATTTATTCTGATAGATATGAAGGGTTGGAAAGTTGATAAAAATAAAAAAATAATTGTCGACTACTGTAGAATATTAAATTTACTGAACATTCTTAAGCATCAATCTTAGCATTAAAATATAAATTGCTATGATAAATCAAAGTAAAGTCTTCAATCAGAATAATTTCTATTAATCTAGGTATATAATAATAGAAAAGAATAGGTAAAATAAAAACTATAATTATTTTTTATCGACACATATAAAAAGATAAAAATAATTATACTTAAAATTTAGTTCGCATTATTTGCTTGAAAGTTTAATTCTTTTGTTATATGTTTTTTATCTGTAACTAAATTAATTTTTTTTTTCTGCAAGGCTGTTATGTATCGAATTTTTGTTTAATAATTTGTAACAGGATTCTTAAGTTATTTTTGCATGCAATAACGATTAATAATCAGTAAAGTTATATTTTTATTAAATTTTACAAATATGAAAACTTTGTATTCACCTATAAAAAATCAACAACTTGTATTTTCTTATTATAATAACTATAATCTAGATATTGATATTCTGATATTGTTCAGTCATTATCTAAAATGAATATTTTCGTAATAAGAACCGATATAAAGCCCTTTTAAGTACCTAAATATTTCCTTTATAATTTTATGCTTAAATAAAAATTTTATTGCAACATCCTGTTTCTTAATTTTTTTACAATACTTTAAACGTTTCTCAGAAAGCCATTTTCCCGAAAGGACACAATACTGACTAAATTTGCCAGCATGCTGACTAACTTTGTCGGTATTATGTCTTTCGGGATTTTGGGGTAGAACCACTTTAAACAATGATTGCTCAACAACCATCTATACAAATTTAATGAAATAATTTTTAGCTTGATTCTGCAAGTTGTAGGATTAAACTAAAAATTTTTTATCGAATTTGCTTAGACAGATGTTGAGAAATATCGATTAAAAGTTAAAAAAAAATTGGCCGTGGCTTTTTTTTTTACGACGTCTAAACTCTAAACGCAGATTATTCGGCACTAACCTGATCAATTCGATCAAAATTTTTTATTTTAATTCTAT